AGGGACAGTGCTCAGGCCCAGAGTTCAGGCCCCATGACCGACAAAAAAAAAAAAATCTTGTATAAGAGTATTTATGATGACCTTACTTATAGTTGCCCAACATTGGATACAATCCACAAGTCCTTCATCTGGTGAATGAATAGTTACATTTGCTAAGTAATATCACACCAAACAAAATGAGAAGAATTAACACATTCATAGCACAACATGAATGAGCCACAAATATACTTCACCAAGAGAAACAAGACCGACTCATTAGACTAAATACTGGATGATTCAATGTATATGTTTGGAAAAGGCAAAACTATAGAGACAGAAAACAGATGCAGGGGTTTCCAGGGAGGCCTAAACCAACCGGTAACGTTCAAGAGCATGTGGGAGGGTAGTGATGCACTGTGTGTACATACAAATGCATGTATGTAGTATTCATGTATCACCCCCCCCTCTTCCACCAGGACAAAGGCTTGAACTGATGACACCATGCTCTGGTTTGGCTTGCATGCTCACAGCTGGTGCTCTACCACTTGAGCCATAATTTTAGTCCAACGTTTTGCTGGTTAAGTGGAGATAGAATGTTGCACACTTTCCTTCCTAGGCTGTATTCAAGCTATGAATCTCCAGGTCTTAGCTTCCTGAGAAGCTAGGGTTAAAGACATGAGCAACTAGTACCTGGCCACTACATGTATTTATGAAAACTTATTTATGGTGTAGATCACCATACTCACAAAGGACAGATGCTACTCAAGGAAAGACAGGAGTATTAAAAATGAATAAGATAGGCACTGGTGGCTCACCACCTAGCAGCTCAAGAAGCTGAGATCGGAGGATCATGGATTGAAGCCAGCCTGGGCAGGAAAGTCCATGAGATTCTTATCTCTAATTAACTACTTAAAACATCTGGACGTGTTTAACTGTAGCTCAAGTGGTAGAGTGCTAGTCTTGAGTACAAAGGGCCAGCACTCAGGTCCTGAGTTCAAAGCCCTAGGACACTCTCTCTCTCCCCCCCACCTCTAAATCTCTTTCTCTCTCTGTCTCTCTCTCTCTCTCCCTCTAAATCTCTTTCTCTCTCTCTGTCTCTCTCTCACACACACACAAATACACACACACACACACACACACACACAGAACAACAACAACAACAAAAACCTAACGAATGAAACTGACTTTGACTATCTTTCTGAAATGGTTATTTGCAAACTGGAGACACAGAGGACTAGATTAAATGACTTCTCTGTTCCTTCCTGCTGACGGTCCTCTGAAGGACAAAGAAGACCAGGAGCCTGTGAGTTGAGGGTGTTACCAGGAACATCCCTGGCCCAGGGTGAAGACATACCTTAACAATGTCCTTCTCCTTCATCCAGGAGGGAAAAGAGAGCCCCTGGCTGAAGATCTGAAACAACACGGACCGCAGGGCGTCATAGTTGTCTCTCTTCACCTGCCGAATGCATTTGATGTGGTGTCGCCAAAACAGCTCCTCGTAAGCCTGTAAAGAAAAGTCTTCATTCATTCCATTGCACAAGAGACTGAAATTAATTCAGTGATCACACTGGGAAGGCTCATTTTCAGTGAGGTATTAAATAAAGCGGGTAACGGTGCCGACTGCTGCCTGTAATCCTCAAGGGACCCTTGTGTGCCAGGAACTGTTTCAGATGATAAATCCTGGAAGGCCAGAGCAGGTCACTGAGGCTGATCAGGAATACAATCTGTACGTTTTTGCTCTTGTTGCTTTTTTTGTTCTGTTTTTCAAATTCATTTTTTATTACCTTTAAGTAGTTATACCAAGAGGACACTTTTAAGACCATAATGAAGATTTATTTTCCTTTCTCCCACTCTCCCTCCTTCTCTTCTTTTCTTCCTTGTTTCCTTCCTTCCTTGTGTGTGTGTGTGTGTGCGTGTGCGTGTGTGTGTGTGTGTATTGTGTATGCTGACACTATGGGTTTTAAGCCATTGCTCAACTGGCATTCTACCACTTCAGCCACACCACCAGTCCAGCATTTTACTGGTTAACTGGAGATAGATTCTCATGAACTTATCTGCCCAGGCTGGCTTTGAACCATGATCCTCTGATCTCAGCCTCCTGAGTAGCCAGGAGGCTGAGCCACTGGCTCCTAGCTGGGAGTCCTTAAAGTGTCCTCCGCGGGCCCCCCCCCCCATGTTTGTGTTTTTCTAGTGACAAGATGGGGAAGCGTTGTCAGGAACAATTACTAAAATTAGTTCAATGGAAAAATCCTAAAACCTGTCAAAATATTTATGCTCAGGGAACTGATCCTTTCAAGGAGGAGTCTCCACTACACGTGCAGGTGCTCTGTAGGCCAGGAGAGGCAGAAACCCACACAATGCTGGAGTTTTCTGAAATGACAGACCTGATCCACATGCAAAGGCACAGGTCAAAGGTCAGGGGCTAGTCTCAGTGGCTCTTGAATGGGAACCACCGGTGTCACTTGTACCCTATTTAGTCCTGGTGAGTCTCTGGCTGTAGCACAGCAGAATGCAATGTCTCTGGAGTTTGCTCGTCTAGGTGTTCCATGGTCTAGCTCTGCAGACAGCCCACCTTGCGCATCAGCGTGGCCCGGGGGTTGTCTCCCTTCCACTCTCGGGCACAATAACTGAGTAAATCAACTTCCGCCTCCACGCTGAGGTTTCCTGGACAAAACAAAATAGAAAGGCAGTTAGCTTTCTCTTTCTCCTCTCTGTGAGCCTTCTCCACACCTTAAAAGCAAGGAAATAAATGGATGGAAATACTTACTTTTGAATTTTCTCTGCAGATATCCAATCCACCTGAAAGATAAAAGGGACAATATCAAAACTAGGCTGGGTACCACGAGGGTATTTTTGAAATGGACGATGGAAACCAACTTACCATTTCAGCCAGTGCCCCAAACATAAATGCAGCTTTCTGAAGTAGCAGAGGGCGGCCGTCAGGAAAGCCGCGGCCAGCATCACGGAGCCCCGCACCACTCTCCAGCCACTTTCAAGAGCTTGGTTTGTAACGAGTGTCCAGGAATGTATTTGGTCATTTCCTGCAAAAAAAAAAAAAAAAAAGAACCGTATCACAACTATACAAATCTGCTTTTACTTGTGCTTATGTGTTTGTGTGTATGTGTGGTTGAAAATAGATATAACCCCTATAAAATATATAATATATATATATACAAACATGCATTGGAATATTTGGCTACAAAATGTCTATCATTAATCTACAAACATATTTTTAAAGGATACAAAGTATTAAATACTTAAAGTTCAATTCAGAAATCAAATAAATACCCAGTTCTCCCACAATTAGTGTCATGAGTAAGAACATATTATATATGATACAATTTTTTTTAGAAGAATAATGTAAGCTGGGTGCCAGTGGCTCACGCTTATAATCCTAGCTATTCAGGAGGCTGAGATCTGAGGATTGCAGTTCAAAGAAAGCCCGGGCAGAAAAGTCCCCATGAGACTCTTCTCTCCAATAAACCACTCAGAAAAAGCCAGAAGTGGCACTGTGGCTCAAGTGGTAGAGTGCTAGCCCTGAGCACAAAGAGGCTAGGGACAGTGCCCAGGCCCTGAGTTCAAGCCCCAGGACTGGGGAAAAAGAAAAAAGAAAAGAATAATGTAGCCAGGCACTAGTGGCTTGCACCCGAGATCCTAGTTACTCAGGAGGCTGAGGTCTGAGGACCACACTTCAAAGCTGGCCCTGGCAAAACAAAAAGTCCATGAGACTCTTATCTCCAATTAATCACACACACATACACACCACACACACACACACACACACGCCAAAAGCAGAGCTGTGATTCAAGTGGTAGAGCATTAGCCTTGAGCTGAAAAAGCTCAGGGACGGCACCCAGGCCCATTAAAAAAAAAAAAAAAGGAGGAAGAGTTGGAGGAGGAGGAAGAAGAGGAGGAAGAGGAAAAGGAAGAGCTGGTGCTGGTGGTAGTGGCACATAGCATACAGGCTCCAGAATTCCATGACCATACCAAGCTTTGTGAATGTGGCAACTTAATCCTTTTCATCCCCAATTTTCTTGACTTGAAGGTGTAAATACAAAGCCTCCTGTAGACAAGTGGAATGACATTTTTTAACACCTGTACAGTGCCTGACGCACTCAATCGGTGCTGAAGCCACACACGACTCCACGATGCAGTTCAGCACAGGTGCCTGGCAGACAATTAAACCAAGTAGCCACAAGGATCCAGTTTTGCCCACTGCTGTGTGGCTGAGTTGTAATCTACGGCGTCACTTTAGAGACCTGGAACAAGTGGTTTGGAACGGCGGGAACACAGACATCACTGCCATAAAATGGATCATGTGAAAGAAGAGACTCCCCTTGTAATGCACACTGTGAACCCTGATTGAACAAGAGAGAAAAAGTAACGAGGTACTTGCAAACTGCCACTGGGTTCAGGAGAATCCTCCAAACCTTCTGTTTGAGCATGCAGATGCCCAGCTACAAATAACAAAGAGAAATTTTTAGCAGTGGCCAGTGCTTGAGGACTTGTGGCAAAATAACTTCCTCCACAGCAGATCATTTGGTAAATGTAGTGATCAGCTCAGCAATATGGAATCTATTATTTTGCTTTTTTTTTTTTTTTTTT